TCACTACAAGAATGTCAACATCAGAAGGCTTAGAAAATCCTAAAAAACCAGGGTGACAAGAAACTGCTTCAGTGAAAGACAGAGATGAAGGGGAGGAGACACAAAGTGATAGAGAGAGACAGAGAGATTTCTGTGACAGCAGGTCAGCCTGACCTAAGAATTCTTTCTGATAAAGAAGAACTAGCAGCAAATGTCACGTGAAATTCGTAAAAGTGAAGGTGTATAAACCTATTGTGAAATTTTATGCATATTTATTTGTAATTTTTGCATATGTATTGAGAGGGGGATAAAAAGGGACCTGGAGTTCCCATGCCATTTTAGGAGAATGATTCCCACACGTATCCAGCGCTGTAATAAACAATCCCGACTTTACAACTCTCACAAAAGTTGTGGAGTTTTGATTATCTCCACGAAACACCTCCTCCCTCCTTCTCCAGCCCTTCTTCCTTGAGCACAAGCAGCAGCTCCTCTGGTTGCTCCATGAAATGGTGCCTTGGAGGTGATGGAGCTCCATGGCAGCATTTTCATGGAGTAACCATCTCCAGTAACCAGTGGAGCTCCACTCACCTTCTCTTTTTGCCCTGGAGCTTTAAGGAGCTGCTGCATCAGAAATAAATTATTTTATTCGTTTGTTTTAGTTTATTTTCCCAACCTTGTCCCTGTTGAGGATGTTTCCTCATCCAGGAGATGTTGAGGAATATTTCCTTGGGAAGGAGATGTTGGGGAGTGTTTCCTTTTCCAGGAGGTTTTGAGGAATATTTCCTCATCCAGGAGATGTTGCTGGGTATTTTTGTATTCAGGAGATGCTGGGGAATATTCTTTTATCCAGGAAATGCTGGGGAGTATGTCCTTATCCAGGAATTGTTGGGGAGCATTTCCCTATCCAGGAGGTTTTGGGGAGCATTTCCTCATCCAGGAGATGCTGGGGAATGTTCCCTTTCCCAGCAGTTGTTGGGGAATATTTCCTTGGCCTGGAGGTGCTGGTGTATGTTTCCTTATGCAGGAGCTGCAGCCCTTGGGATCAATCAGGCCCTGCTCCTCGTTTCCCAGGGGGAATATTCCTCCCATTCAGGCAGGAGATTGATCCAACACCATGTTTGTTTTCCCAAGGGCCCAATTCCACACTTGGCAGGTGGATGTGGTGGATTTTGGATGCATCAGGAGCTCTGGGAAGCATTCATTAAAGCCAGATGGGGAAACACTGAGTAAAATCCTCCTCAGGAATCTCCAGTGAGGATTTGGGAGCTCTTGGGTTTAATTTGATTGCACCTGTCCCTCACAAACCCCACCTGCTGCTTCTCCTCCCTCCAGAGCTGCTCTGAGCCTGAGTTTGGATGCTTTTGGAGCATTCCTGGCATGGGGCAGGCAGGGCTGAGCCGGGCTGGGCTGATCCCTGCTTTTCCTGCTCTCCAGGTGATCTCCTGCCAGCGGACGGGATCCTGATCCAGGGCAATGACCTGAAGATAGATGAGAGCTCGCTGACTGGGGAGTCAGACCAGGTGAAGAAATCCATGGATAAAGACCCCATGCTGCTGTCAGGTGAGGGCTCAGGGATGGATGCAGGGCTGGGATGGGGTCAGGGTGGGCCCTGCTCTCAGGGAGGTGTCCAAGGCCAGGCTGGACAGGCTTGGAGCAATCTGGGATAGGGGAAATACGGGATGGAACAGGATGGGGTGAAGCCTGAGCCAAACCAGTGTGGGATTCTGTGGGATGGCAGCTGGGAGTGTCTCCTGTGTGCCCATGGCATTGCTGCCCTGCCAGGTACCCACGTGATGGAGGGCTCGGGCAGGATGGTGGTGACTGCCGTGGGCATCAACTCCCAGACTGGGATCATCTTCACCCTCCTGGGAGCAGGAGGAGAGGGGGACGAGGAGAAGAAGGTGAAGAAAGGTAAGAAAATGCCCTGAATTTGCCTTTTCCCTCCTTTCTCCCTTTCCTGGGAAGCATCCACGGGCTCCTCACACATCTGGGTCAGCTCCCCTGGCCCAGGCAGGAGCAGGAAGAGGATGGGGGTCCCTCCTTGTCCCCTCCAGCTGGTTCCCCCATGCTCCCAGACCTTCTCCATCACCCTCCTTTCCATCTTGGAGCTGTGGGGTTGGGGGACAACCAACACCTAAAGTCACCTGAAGGTGGGTGAGGTGCAGCAGCTCTGGGCACCCCCATTTGAGGGGTCACCTGGACAGATTTTGGGGGTCACACCTCCCTGCTCTGGGTTTGCTCTGGGACAAATCTGTGCTTCCTATCCGGGTCTGATGGCAGCAGGAGGGAGGGACCTGGAGCTGCAGGAGGCTTTCTTCTCCTGAAAATGTGCTCTGTGCCTTCTCCTCCTGAAAACCTGCGGCACCTCCAGCGCCCTGGAGGCACTGCTGGGCTCTGGGGGTGATTTACAGGTGGGGAGAAGCAGAACCCTTGGGCCAGGAGTGCCCAGGGCAGCCTGGGAGCTCCGGAGCCTCGAGCAGTGTGTGGACTAAGGCGTGGTGGTGTCCAGAGGGTGCCCACAGGATCCCAGCTGCAGGGGGAATGTGGCTCCTTGTGCTCAGCCCTCCCCCCTTTCTCTCTTTGAACAGGTAAAAAAGGTGGAGCCCCCGAAAACCGCAACAAAGGTAACGCCAGCCTCTCCATCCTTTGAACAGCACCACACTAACTAGCAAGCATTCCTCTCTCCTTCCTCCTTCTTCCTTCTTCTTCCTCCTTCCTTCCTTCTCCTCATCAGTCTGTGCTCTTTGCTGCTCCGGTGGGACTCTCGCCTCGTTTCTCCAGGACAGGGTGCAACGGTCCCGTGGTGTCCCCAAAACCCCAACCCAAGGCAGGGGGTGCCTTGCTGGGACTGCCCAAAAACAGAGGCCAGACCAAATCAAAGGAAAAAAAAAAGCAGTTTTGTTTATTGAAGGGCCTTCAGGTATGTTTAGGGCATTTAGGTCCAAAAATGGACCACAGGTCACGGGGTTTTCACACTTTTATAAGTTTGGTTCATTTGGATATTGGGGGTTAATTTTCCAATTACAGCTTCAGGTAATGAAGTCATTGACCCCAAATTTGCACCCCCAGCTCACTTTTGTTCCCATCTCTCAGGGACTGACCAGTGAGGTGTTTGATTCCCAGGCCTGGAGAGGAATTGTGTAAAAATGAGAAAGCAGCAGCTCACGCTGGATATGGAGTTTAGAGTTCTACACTTAAGAACTGCAGGACTATAAATGTATGAAAAAGATAAAAACTAAAATCCTAAGGCATCACTGGGATGAACCTTCCCATTGTTTCTACATGGGGAAAAGCCATTTTTCAGGGAGGGCTTTTGGCAGAGCATCCCTTCCTTGGGATCACTCCATGACTCCCAGCAGGGATTTGATGGTTCAAAGCTGTCCCTGCACAGGGTTGGCGTTCAGGGCAGAACTGGACGTGCCCACCTGGCATTCCTGGGATGAGATCTCCCCCAGGACCCAGCCCAGGGGACATTTGCACCCTGTCCTGCCATGGCCTCGACTCCGTGAGCGTCTCCTCGCCAGTGTTTCTCACCTGTTCTTTGCAGGCTGTGGAGGAAGCCCCATTTCTGCACCTCTCTCTCCACCCCTCTCTCTGTTTCTCTGTTTCTCTCTCTGTTTCTCTCTCTCTCTCAGCAGTTTGAGTTGCCCTCCTTGGGTCAGCTGTGTCCGGGTGCTTTGTTGTGTCCGTGTCGGGTCTCTTGTCACCGTGGAGCTGCTCCGGGGTGGCCTCCAGCCCACGAGGGGACAGGTCCTGGGGTGGCCCTGGGGCCACACCAGCTCAGGAGGAGCCTCTGCTGGGCTGCCCATCCCTCTCCAAAGCTGCCAGGCTTGGGTTTGCCCAGGGCAGCCTTCCAGCTGGGTTAGCCCAGTTTTAGGAAGGGGAAGCTTGGCTGTCTCAGGTGCCAAAGGGGGATGGCTCCAGGCTGGGATTGGAGGATTCCTGGCTCCCTGCTCTTCAGTCTCCATCCCAATTTCTAACCTTCCCCTCCATCTCACCCCTTCCCTTGCTGCTGGGCTGCCCACAGGGCTCTGCAGAGGTGGCACTGTGGGACCTGGGGACACTGGAGCATCTCTGGGCTCATCCCAAAGCCCTCCCAATCCTCTGCAGGCCTAGAGGCTGGAAGAGACCCCAAAATCTGGCCTGGAGTGTCTCTTGCAGAGGTGTGACGGTGCCAGAGTCACCCCTGAGGATCCCTGATCCGTGGGCAGGGGGTAGTGACAGGAAAGCACCCCGGAGAGAGGTGGCAGGGCCCTGGACACGGAGCTTCCATGTGCTCGGACGCGTGTGTGCTCGGGAGTGGTTCTTGTCCTGGATTTCTCTCTCTCTCTCTCTCTCTCTCTGCCACCACCATCCTCCTCCGTGGTGTCCTCCAGCCTGGCCTGGGCCTCTCCTGTTCACACCTGGTGTCTTCTTTTACCCCCCCGGGCTGTAGCTAAAACTCAGGATGGTGTGGCCTTAGAGATCCAGCCCCTGAAGAGCCAGGAGGGGGTGGAGAACGAGGAGAAGGAGAAGAAGAAGGCGAAGGTGCCCAAGAAGGAGAAGTCAGTGCTGCAGGGGAAGCTCACGCGCCTGGCGGTGCAGATCGGGAAGGCAGGTGAGTGACAGTGACAGTGACAGTGTCCCAGTGTCCCCCCAAGCTGGTGAGGAAGGGCTGACTCTGTCCTGTGTCCCCTTATCTCATCCTTGTCCCCATCCCCAGTGTCCCCAGAACTGGTAGCAAATGTCTGTGCTGGTCCCCAGTGTCCCCACGGTTGGTGGGGAAGGGCTGTGCTTGTCCCCAGTGTCCCCAGAACTGGTGAGGAAGGACTGACCCTGTCATGTGTCCCCTTGTCCTCATCCCCAGTGTCCCAAGAGCTGGTGGGGATGGGCTGTGCTTGTCCCCAGTGTCCCCAGAACTGGTGAGGAAGGGCTGACCCTGTCATGTGTCCCCTTGTCCTCATCCCCAGTGTCCCAAGAGCTGGTGGGGATGGGCTGTGCTTGTCCCCAGTGTCCCCAGAGCTGGTGAGGAAGGGCTGACCCTGTCCTGTGTCCCCTTATCTCATCCTTGTCCCCATCCCCAGTGTCCCCAGAGGAAGGGCTGACCCTGTCCCCTCCATCCCCTCTGTCCCCTGACCTCCTCCTCGTCCCCAGGGCTGATCATGTCGGCCATCACCGTCATCATCCTGGTGCTCTACTTCGTCATCGACACCTTTGGGGTGCAGAAGCGGCCCTGGCTGGCCGAGTGCACCCCCATCTACATCCAGTACTTCGTCAAGTTCTTCATCATCGGCGTCACCGTGCTGGTGGTGGCCGTGCCCGAGGGGCTCCCGCTGGCCGTCACCATCTCGCTGGCCTACTCTGTCAAGGTGAGACCTGGGGAGAGGAGGGACTGCTGGAATTATCAATAAATAATCCAATCTAGCTGGACAGGGCATGCCTGAGGTTGTCTGGCCCTGCTGCTGAGCCAGATTGTGGCAACTGTGGTGTGTCACCTCAGAGACACTTTTGGCTGTGGGTGTGTGGTGTTTCACCCCACAGACACNTTTATTTATACTTTATTTTATAGTATACTTATAATTTTATTTTATTTATATGCTTATATTTATACTTTATTTTTATTTTTATTCCATTAATTTGTTTATACTTTATTTTATAGTTTACTTTTAATTTTATTTATATGCTTATATTTATACTTTGTTTTTATTTTATTTTATTAATTTGTTTATATTTTATTTTATAGTTTACTTTAAATTTTATTTTATTTATATGTTTATATTTATACTTTGTTTTTATTTTTATTTTATTAATTTGTTTATACTTTATTTTATAGTTTACTTTTAATTTTATTTCATTTATATACTTATAGTTTATTTTTATTTTTATTTTTGTTTCATTAATTTGTTGATACTTTATTTATATTTTAATTTTTATTTGTTTTTTATTTATTAATTTATTATTAATTTATTATTTGTTATTTATATTAATAAATATAAATATAACTTATATATTATATAAATATAATATTTATATAAATTAATTTATAATTAATTATATGCTTATATTTACACTGTATTTTTATTTTTATTTCATTAATTTGTTGATACTTTATTTATATTTTAATTTTTATTTGTTTTTTATTTATTAATTTACTATTAATTTATTATTTGTTATTTATATTAATAAATATAAATATAATTTATATATTATATAAATATAATATTTATATAAATTAATTTATTATTTGTTATTTATTTATTAACTTTATTAATTTTTATTTTATTTTTTTTAATGGTTTGGGGTTTATTTATTTATTTATTTATTTATTTATTTATTTGCACCTTGTGTCCCCTCAGCTCACCTTGTCTGGGCTGAGCAGGGAGCTGCTCCTGGATGAGCTGCACAGGGCCAGCAGTGGGATTTGCCCTCAGCCCTGTTCTCCCCACCCCTCCAGGCCTGTCTGGGAACCCCACGGACCTGGAGAAGCGGCGCCAGGCCTTTGGGCAGAACTTCATCCCCCCCAAGAAGGCCAAGACGTTCCTGCAGCTGGTGTGGGAGGCGCTGCAGGACGTGACGCTGATCATCCTGGAGATCGCCGCCATCGTCTCGCTGGGGCTGTCCTTCTACCACCCCCCGGGCGGGGACAACGAGCGTGAGTCCTGGGGCTGGGGACACCGGGGTCTGGCCCCTTTCCTGTGGGGGTATCCTGGGATCTGCTCTATTCCCTGAGGGGTATCCTGGGATCTGCCCCTTTCCCTGTGGGAACAGGGGCTTGGGATGGGGAGACTCTGTGGGATCTGCCTGGTTCCGTGTGGGGATATCCTGGGATTTGCCCCATTCCCTGTGGGGATATCCTGGGATCTGCCCCATTCCCTGTGGGGATATCCTGGGATCTGCCCCTTTCCCTCTGGGACGACTCTGGGATCTGCCCCTTCCCTGTGGGGACACTGGGGTCTGGCCCCTTTCCCGTGGGGATATCCTGGGATCTGCCCCTTCCCTGGGGGGATATCCTGGGATCTGCCCCCTTTCCTGGTGGGAACAGGGGCTTGGGATGGGGAGACTGTGGGATCTGCCTGGTTCCGTGTGGGGATATCCTGGAATCTGCTCTATTCCCTGTGGGGATATCCTGGGATTTGCCCCATTCCCTGAGGGGGTATCCTGGGATTTGCCCCATTCCCTGTGGGGATATCCTGGGATCTGCTCTATTCCCTGTAGGGGTATCCTGGGATCTGCCCCATTCCCTGTGGGGATATCCTGGAATCTGCCCCCTTTCCTTTGGGAACAGGGGTTTGGGATGGAGACTCTGGGGTCTGCTGCTGTTCCCTGTGGGACGACTCTGGGATCTGCCCTGTTCCATGAGGGGATATCCTGGGATCTGCCCCATTCTCTGTGGGGATATCCTGGGATCTGCCCCTTTCCCTGTGGGAACAGGGGTTTGGGATGGGGACTGTGGGATCTGCCTGGTTCCGTGTGGGGATATCCTGGAATCTGCTCTATTCCCTGAGGGGATATCCTGGGATCTGCCCCATTCCCTGTGGAGATATCCTGGGATCTGCCCCATTCCTTGTGGGGATATCCTGGAATCTGCTCTATTCCCTGTGGGGATATCCTGGGATCTGCCCCATTCCCTGTGGGGAAATCCTGGAATCTGCTCTATTCCCTGTGGGGATATCCTGGGATTTGCCCCATTCCCTGTGGGGATATCCTGGGATCTGCCCCTTTCCTTTGGGAACAGGGGTTTGGGATGGAGACTCTGGGGTCTGCAGCTGTTCCTTGTGGGGATATCCTGGGATCTGCCCCATTCCCTGTGGGAACAGGGGTTTGGGATGGGGACTGTGGGATCTGCCTGGTTCCGTGTGGGGATATCCTGGAATCTGCTCTATTCCCTGTGGGAGGACTCTGGGATCTGCCCCTGTGGAAGCAGGGGTTTGGGATGGGAGCGTTGGGTGGTGGTATCTCCCCATCTTTGGGGTCTTTGGGGGAGGACCAATTATCCAATGGGGAATTCTTTCAGGGCAGTGTTTGGAGTAATCCCATGGGAACTCTCTCCTGTGGGGTTATCCAAGCAGGAATTCCCTGCTCCAGGCAGTGTTTGGGGTTATCCAAGCAGGAATTCCCTGCTCCAGGCAGTGTTTT